TTGTGAGTTCTGTTTTATTTTCCGTAAAGTAAGGCAGTCTAAAAAAAGCAAACAGAAAATAAATGCTGTTTATGTTTCTTCTAACCTTCCAAATAAACCTAACATGTTTTACAGTACATTGTGATGGGCTACAGATTGGTGTTAAAACCACTTAAAAGATTATCAATTATAATACAATAGAAGAAATCTGCGCTTTGGGCTCAGCTCTAACAAACCATTAGGCCAGGCTTTTTTTTTTTCTTTTATCAAAACTAATAGAAATACAATACTTATCTATAGAAGGTTTAAAAAATACAGTGATTCACAACTTTTCTGCAGAACCTACTTTGTATAAACCCAACTTTCTTCTTTTAGTCCCCAAAGCTTTGATTTCAGAGTGAAGCTGACTTCATTTGACCTGAGATGACAGAAAACAATAAGTAGAAAAGCAGCAGCAGAATCAGCTCTGGTTATTGTCTTTATAATAGCACAATATGTTGAAATGTTCCTCCCAACAGGGGAAGGTATGACCGGCTGCAGCGAATGGTAATTACTGCACCGCTTTTTCCTGCTTCGTCTCCATCGCAGTAACATGTTCCAACGCTCTGATCCACCAAAACATCCTCCCCGTCCACTCTTCCCTGGCTTTGCCATCTAAACTTCCCCCTTTGCACGGTCCCATCTCCATAGCGACGCACGCTTGTCCTTGGCTAACAGAAATAATTGGTTGCCCCTACATCAAATGGTTGTTCTGTGTATCTTTAAAAATTTTATCACAGTGGATGCTGAGTTGGCTGGTATGTTTCAAGTAAAAGCACAGGGCCTCCAACCTCTTTATGTCTTCCTTCGTTTGGGGTGATATAAAAAAAAATAAAAAAAAACACCCCATACCGCCTTTAGGGACATTGCATTGCTTTTTATTTAGTCACAGAAATCTTTTCTAACTGTAACAGAATAGAGAAGAAAAACCTCAGCAGTGATGTTGCTCAGCTGCAAGATGAATCCAAGGTTTGTTAACTACCTTAAGCTTCTGTCATAGCAGAGTGAGTAAAGCTGCAGCAACAAAACCCCTGAGACCTGAAAAAAAGCTCAACATTAACTTCTTATTTGCAGGAAGTGTGTTTTTGTCTGAGTTTAACGTTTTCATGCGCTGCTATCTAGCTGTGGTTTTCCCTCTCTCTCTCTATCTCTGCTTGTTTACCCATAAATATCCAAATGAAAAATAAATCCCTGCAGATTAAAATTTCCGGTTAGCTTTAAAAATGTATGTTTTAGTTAGTGGAAAAACATAAAAGAAGAGATTCATCCAAGAAGACAGAGCTGCTGTTCAAAGTGAGTCAATTCTGGCCTGACCTGAATCCGTGCACTCTGTTATCTCCCCTGGAAATGTCAAGCACCTCAATACGCTGATCAGGGCATAAAAGTACTTATATATATTATGTCCTTGAGTCCCAGAGATTAGAATTTCCATTTCAGGCAAAAAAAAAAAAAAAAAAAGCCTCTAGAAAGGCAAACATCACATGCTGAGCGTGGAAAACTGGAAAGGTTACTGAGCCTTATCTGCAATTATGCAAAAACACAGAAACTGGCCAAACCCGCAACTCGTTTCTACAAAGAGAATCTACAATGCCTTGATGGTGCTTACAGCATTCCTCTCTCATCTGCTGATGTGTAGCAGGCAGCACATCCTAGAGGAGAATACAGGCAAGAACAGCTGACTATACACTACTCACACCTTGTCAAATTGTAAATTATAAATGGATGCCATTAAAATTTTAATCTCTTCCTGTAGTTAGAAGATAAAGTTGGTAATTTAGCAAGTTTATTTGATTTAGTTTTACCTCATGAGTGTCTCATATGTGCCAGCTGAAGAAGAGGGAATAGGGATAACAAGATGCTTTAATTATAACAAAGCCTTTTTGTCTTGTTTTTCCTTTTTTTTTAAGCGATAAAGGGATCCATAAATCTGTGAAGAATCACTGTCTTTGACCCTCTCCTTCTGTCAGGTTTTTTTTTTTGAAGTGAAGCTGCTAAGATGTTGACAACTCCACTGCTGCACTCATTGTGTCAGAGTGAGCTTCCCTCTTCACAGGAAGAGAATAAACCACATTCTGATACATGGGTCGCACAGAGAGAAAGAAAAAGCAAAGAAAAAAAAAACAACTGCTTTATTTCCACTGATACCTGCAAACATAAATAGATCTGCTTTAGAAAAAAAGAGAAAAGCTTTCATCTCTAATTATGCCTCTGAGTAGTCAACATGAGAGCAATGGTGCCCCCTTGTGTAAAATCTAATTAATAGTCTAACAGTAATTTGAATTAGTGGTTCTAATACAGGCTGGTAGCAGAGGCCGTTTGCAAAGCTTCAAATAAGGAGAGTTTTGATGGTTTTTATTTCACATTCGTACGCTTCAAAATAACTTGGATTTATTCTCTGTGAAGTGAGAGGCGTCCATCTTCACCCTCTGCTGCTCGCCATCCATCCTGTGTCCTGCAGCCCTATCCTCCACTGTCAAGGTTCTGGGCACACTGCACCACCCTGGGCTCAGCCAGTCGCTCGTAGGACAGGACTGTCATCACCTGCAAAAAAAAAAAGAAATAAGGACAGCAGGATGTGGCTTCAGAGAACACAGACCGCTGAGTAATACTTGCGAGCTATTAAAGACCTGCTGAGTAAAGAAATTTACCTAAAGGAAAACTCTGTGGATGCTGCTTTTTAGCTCACTGGGTTGCAACATCTTTCCCACATAGACAAAGGGATATTGATTGAGGCAATTAACTATTAATCACAGAAAACCGGTTAAAGCTCCAATGAATGGGATGTGTAACCAGTAACACAGCAAAATGATTTAACGCCTAGAGCAGAGGCTCCCTCAGAGACCGTGTTCGGCCTGCAGGTCATGCTCTAAAAATAGAGCTCGACAGCATGCAGCTCTGCAAACAGCATTTTAATTAACCTGCTATTATTTAGAATTGGCAACATTTGCATTCTTATAAAGTTGAGCCCAAAACTATTCATACCCCTGAGATACCCTTGAAATTCAGCTCCCTGCAAAGACTCTATCAGCTCTTAAGTCATAGAGCTACATAACCAAGGAGATTAGGTCAAATTAGCGATGCACGATATTGGGATCTTGGCCGATATCCGATATGCCGA